ATTTTAAGTCGCAGGCTATTCTATATCTGTAGCATCTTAGCAAAAAGATCCTTGCATGACATTGCAGACATATATCCTATACTGCATATTTAAATTATATATATAGCCCTACAAACAAACAAATTTCAACGCCAAAGGAAATTATTATTATGAGCCAACAATTCTGAAAGCGTTTACTAAATTGACATGACAGCTTCACACTTTGCTTAAGTTGTAGGTGTTTATTGGAAGTGATTTCTCTTTTAGCGGTATGGTTTGCATTTTTTTTTTTTTTTTTTTTTTTTTAATTATTTGTTTTGTTTGTGTTTCTTAGTGCGTGGCAGCTCAAGGAGCGGCCTGCTCGTCTTCCATATAGTACCTAAATAAATGCTATTCCTCCTCTTCTTTCTCTTTACGATGTGATTTCTTTTTATCGTTTCGACTGGACGAACCGGAACTTGTGGAGCTGCTTTGTTTGCTGCTGCGCTCGCTGCGATCTTTTTCACGTGATTTGGATTTCCGACGACTGGATTTGTCGCGTGATCGTGAGCGTCCGTCACGTCTTGAGCTTTCTTTTTCCTTGTCCTTGTCCTTATCCTTATCCTTGTCCTTCTCTTTGTCTTTGTCCTTGTCCTTTTCCTTGTCTTTATCCTTATCACGTGAGCGCGCCTTTTCACGATTGCTTCGCTCCCTATCGCGCTCCTTATGCTCACGCTCCTTACGCTTCTCCTCCTTGAGTATGTGCAAATAATCCTCAAAGTACTCCTCGCGATATGCCGAATCCAGTGCCCGGTAACGTGGATCAGCTTCGAATTTTTTCTTAATATCATACCAACGCGTATGACGCTCGATATCGTGCCGCTCACGTAACATGTCCAGAAAATCTTTGCGTAGCTAAAAATAGATAAACACAATTGATTAATACAAGAACAGATAATATCTAACAAATGGATAGTATAGGAGTTAAATGTGTTTTATTTTTTTCAATAGTTAATCAAATCTTACCTGTTCTTTCTTTAGCTGCTTGTCCTTTTCGCGCCGTCGCCTATCACGGTCATCCTCGTAGCCATCCGATCTACGATCTGATGACGATGGCATATTGGTGGTGCTGCCGTTGCCGCCATTCCCTCCCATAGGCATCCTCTGGGAGCCCATGTCTGCAAATAAAGGTGCAATTATAAAATGGGATACGAGGAACGCATCATTGTGAGCACTTACTCAGGTTGGGCGGCATGCGCATTATGCCAGGCGGCGGACCCATACCTGAATTGAGAAGATATGGAAATATATAATTCTTGCATTGAGCTTATGTAGATAAAAGTGCAACGCTTACCCATGTGTGGCATTCGCATGTTGGGTGGCATCATGCCGGGCGGCGCATGCTGTCCTCGTAGCTGTGGTGGCGGTCCGCTCATCTGGGGTGGTGGTACATTCATTTGTGGCGGCATACCCGCTGGCCCGCCCAGTTGGGGCGGCTGCTGTTGCTGCTGAGAGGGATGGTGAGCGGGGCCAGGCGTTAGCTCCTTAATGCCAGTGGGCACCCAGCCGGCATTATCGTTGCCCCACTGTGATTCCTGAGTGGGCTCATAGCCATAGTCGAACGGTTCCGGCTCATGGAAGAAGGGCTCATCGGAAGCACCCGGTGGGGGGAAATTTGGTGCCATCGGTCCTAGACCGCCGCGGGAATACTCACGACATTCTGCCGTCATCACCTGTATCGCATTCTCCTTGACGCCTCCTGTGGTGGATATGGGACGCGGCGGGCGCGCCATCATTCCCATGCCTGGGCGCGGCTGATGCTGCATTATGGGCGGCATGCCTGGCGGCGGCATTTGCATTGGTCCATCACCAAGCGCCACCATGGGCTGGTGATGATGCATGGGTCCGCCCATGCCCATTGGAACGTTCATATTGGCCGTGCTGCCACCTTCCGCCATGGCCATCGACGTGGCACTCTGATTCACATTTTGAGTAAGACTGGCCAGGCCCACGCCGCTCTCGGCCACACGAAACCGTTTCTGGCGCTCACAATACGCACGCCATGTTTCCTCGTTGAAACCATAATTAAAGTAATCGGTAATATCAGCACCGGGTTTACGCCAGGGCTTCTCCTCCAGTGAGTCAATGCTAAACTCATGGACGGCCACGCCGTTAATGGTTCCAGCGCCCTCGAAATCCTCGATGCTAAACTTGCCGGCCTGCGCTGTGGGCTTGGCTTTGTCCGCCGCTGTGGCGCCTGCCAGCAAATTTGGTCGCTGTTTGATATTGTAGGTGCTGGGCGCCGACTTGATGTCGCCAATAACAACATTGATATCATCATCTGAGTCGTCATCGTCATCATCATCGGAGCCAGAGCCATTGCGCTCTTTTCGCGATGCTGGTCCAGATGCACCAGCCGTCAACTCCGTCATATCAGTGTCTTCCCCTTGCGAGCCGGCATCGTCCAAGCTGCTGCTGCTAGGTTCTGCTGCTCGCGCATTGCTAGCCATTGTGTCCGGCAACGCTTCTTCATCTTCTTCCATTTCCTTGGCGGGATCCTCGAAATCGGCATATTCGAGTAGTTCCTCCTTGGGAAAGGCGGGCAATGGGCAACCAGATCCTGGCTTCTCGCCGGTCACTGCGGCAAGTGCCTCGTGCTCCGCAGCCAATGCATCGCTGCCATTTGATACTTCGTTGGTCGTTGAGTCTGTATTCGATGTGCCATACAACCAGCTATCCTCATTAGTGTCATCTGCCATGTTTGTGTTAGGTTTTGAGCGTGGCCACGAGTTTATTTAATTAATAAATGCACCGAAAGCCGAACGCTTAACTCAGGTAAACACTGTTTGATAAACTACAACCACTTATTCAGCATTAAATCGTTTTGCATATTTCGGTCACACTGGCACAGTAAAAACTGGCTGTGTTTCATTTCTCAACGTTGCGCTGTAGAATTAATGAGAATGGAACACATACGAAGCAGCTGTTAATGCCGCGCATAATTTAAAGTAACTAATTTAAGTAATTTCTTTATTAAAAAAATTGTTTTCTTATTAATTTAAGATGAATTGTGAATTCATTATATTTGTATTTTTGCTTCTAATATGGCAATAATTAATAATATAATAGTTATATTTTAGAGTTTAAAGTGTTTTCAATATATCACGAACAACGTTACGGAACATACAAGAGAGGGCACAGTCGTATCGCTGTAGACTTAGTTGACGTAATCCAAGCAGCAGCTGACCAAAGCGCAGCCAGTGGGATCTATGCAGAGTGTAGCGAGCCAAGGAGCAAAGTGCACCATTCGAGTACGTCTCTAAGATCAGCGCATAGTCAGCATTTAAAGCCAATTCTAGAAAGAATATGATTAGGATAAACGGTGGATACTTCTTAGTCTGTAAATCTCGAACACACCTTTACGGCACAAAATTAAAGTTTCCAGAAAGTTTAGCTCCATGAGATCGGCTCGTAATTGTTGGGCCTCCGATAGCATAAACTTGAGCTGCATATCACCACAGCTCTCGATCATGGCACTGATATCCAAGGACCAGTGCGAGGCACGCAATATGAAGCACTCGCTCCAGACCACCTGCAGAATAGCATCCTGCTGGGCGCGTGCCACCAGTCGAAACTGTTCGTTGAGCTTTGCTTGGCGTAGACATGTGACCAGTATCTGGGCGAGAATCTGAAAGTGTACCGTCGGAGCAGGTGGCGACGGCGGCGCTGGAGGCGTCTGAGCCAATAGACGTTGACTGCTCTGCGCCTGTTGACTTCGTGGACCACGCTCCTCCTGCACGGCCGCAATATTCATGCCCACGGCAAGGCAACGCTGAAAGCGGCACGAGGGACACCAGTTACGACGCGCCTTGTCCACTACACAGTTACCCTTAACGGCAATGCAGGCATAGTGACTGCCTTTCCTTACGCTGCGCTTGAAGAAGCAGGAACAGCCGTCGCAGCACGAGACTCCATAATGCTTGCCAGAGCTCTGATCGCCGCACACTTGGCAGGCATTATATAGCGTTACAAGGGACATGGACAAGGCAGCTACTGCGAGTCGACTATGGCAGGTTGGCCATGTTATTGGCAGTTTTATATGGCTGGATATAGTTGGGCGAGCACAAATGATATGCAAATCAAAGACACTTCACTCGAACATGATTCGAGGATTTTTTTTATTTATATTAAGAGACTGCACAGGATAAGCTGGAAGTTCGCATGAAAGGGGGGCGTAACATGTCAAAAGTGACAATCATTGCCACGGACTAACACGGGCGCGTTAACAATTTGTAAACAATTATTGTTGTGCTCTATGATTGGTCAGAAGTGTCATCCAAAGTGCTTTCAACTGACGTTTTGTGTAAATAGACGGACGAGTCCAAAGTCCAAGCCATAACAATTAGGGGTTGTGAACGAATTCGAATTAAAGAAGCAGAGAGTGGGTGATGATCGTATTAAAACATATTAGTCTAACAATTTTTAGTACTTTAATTTACTTATTTCACCCATTTTTCATTATTTATAAAATTATCAAAATACATGAATTATTATTATTATAATTTATAACATCATTGAATTCGTAATTAAATATGTACAATTTTATTTAGTGTAAGACTTTATTGATATATAGTAGACATTTTACCCTGTATCTCTCTCTGCAATTCTCTTAACAATTAAAAAAAAAAAAAAATAGAAGTGCAATGCAATATTTTTTTATTATAATGAAAGTTCAAATTATCAGTTATTATATTATACTTATCGATTGTTGTATGCAATCGATAAAAAAAATTCTTTTAACAGAGCTTCTACAGTTTATGTTAAGTCCGCATACCAGCTGTTTGAACTTGTTTACTTGCGTAGCAAAGCTAATTGGCAACTATTACATTTTAACCATTTACATCACAAGAAGTTTTTCATATTGAATTAAGTTATATTAAAACAAGTATCAGCTATTCTCAAATGTCTTATTTGTTGTTGTTAGCACTATAAAGTATATTAAGGGTTGCTCTTGTATGTTATAAAAGCGTATTTGTATGGGGTATTTTGTCGCCAACTGGTTCCGGTCACACTATTTACATGTGTCATGTTTTTTGTATTTATTACAAGAAACGTTTTTAAAATAAAATGTAAGCTTTTATATTACAAATAAGCGTGAAAGTCGCGCGCATTCAAGTTAAACATATACACGGTCATAAATCACTGCGAGTGCATATAGAATTGTTCGGTCTGGTTTTGCATCGCTTGCAGCCGCTGCGGTATTCTTTGCAGTCGGCCATTTAAATCAAGAAACTACAACTATAAGTGAAAACGAGAAAAAACGCGTCGCGACCTGCTATATAAACGCCCAGCAAATGTGCAATGAAGTGTTGAAGTGAGCTTGAAGACACACAAAAAGAAAAATATATATACATATATATAAGGAGGTACCTGCGTACAATTACAAATAGAGGCCCCAAGCGCTGCACGTTTGGAAAGTGACGTCGCGACGTCGCATACAGGGTGTTGTAATACACAAACCTGTGAGTTTTTGTTATTGCTTTAAGTTTCATTCATTAAAACTGCAAGCGTTGCATCAAATTCCAATATGTGCCGAGCAGCGAACAACATGCAGCTGTTTGGCAACACCTAAACAGGCGCTCACACACACACACACAAACACATGCACACATATGGATTGATTTTTCCAACATTACAATTGCTTCTGTATATGTGCGTGTGTGTCAGGAAAGCTGCTCCAATGTTTTTTTTGGTTTGGATTATATGCGATTAACTGCAGTCGCTGCTGCTGTTCCATTTCTATTTTGGTGTAAAAATAAACTGCATTCATAATGTATGCACCTCTAAAAAAAAAATGTCAACAAGCCTATATACAGGGTGCCGCCAGCACCATCTCCATCTTCCCCAACAACCCCCCACCCCTAATGCACGTGTTGTGAGAAGCGCCAGCAATGCAAACAACTAAAATAACAACGAGAACAAGCAAAACGTGCTAAAGCGCAGCAAATAAAACGACATTTACATGCATGCATTCAAACATTGAAACATACATACAATGCACACATACGTACATATGTATTTATATTTCTATGTAGAAAGACATTTGTATGTAATAATTATATTACTAGACTGGCCACACTTTGCAGTCAATTTAGCATTAAACGGTTAGCGGCCTCTGCGTTAACGGCATATGCCCATAAATATATTTGCTTAGCCCGGCCATGTAAAAGGTAAAACGGAAAACAAACCGCCAACTGGCGACTGAATGGAAGGGGACACAAATGGAAATAGTAGAAGACACATTTCCGTCCGGTAGCGAACAAACCAAAATAGACAACGCACAGTGCTTCCGACTTGTTATCAACCGAACACAAATTAATGTTCATTATTTCAATTTTAAATTCTATTTAGTTTTATAATAATTTATGATTCAGATACAATATATTGTTTTTTTAAGTTAAAATTGCATTACCTATATAAACATTATAATTAGTGAAATTTTTATTTCATTAATAAAACAGCACTATAAACTCCAGCCATCCCTCGCAATGTAGCCAATAATAGCTTAATTAAAGTTCTGTTCGCTTGCTCCACTGTGCATCACTTACGTAGTCGTCTTTGCTGTTGCCATACGCGCCTGTAGATATATGTATGTATGTATGCGTATGTGTTTGTGCTTGTGGCTTCTCTCAGCACTTGGTGGCATGGTACTCAATGCACTTGCAGTTGCTTTTGCTGTTGCTGTTGCCGTTGCTGTTATTTCTTTTTTTTTTATTGCAACATGCACCTAAGTATGTATGTCTGTGTTTGGGCCACTTGACCAGGCGCAGGGAGAATGGGTCGTCTGCCATTCTAAACACTAATCTGAATGCCGCAAGTGTTGCCGAGTTTCCTGTGGCGCTGCCGCTCATTAGGGTATAATTTGCATTAGCTGCAACGCAGCAAAAACCCATCGCCAGACACATACAAGGCCTCGTTCAAGTATGGATAGGTCTATGTGTTTATGTACATATAAATATAACTTATTGATTTTACTTGAACTTCAACTAACTAAAAAATACACCTAACTTTCGAAAAAAAAAAAACCCCGTCTGAAGATACCTTATGTGCAATCTTAAGTGCAAAGTTGATGACATTTGCCTATTGTCTAACGTAGAGCCGTATCGGATATGAGTATTTTCATTCATATACCCTCGTTTCCCATTCAAGAGAGGGCATTAAAGTTCGAAGCACAAGAAAAACACATAAAAGTTAACCCAGTTCTTGGCGCCCACTCACTGCACTCAAGAGGTGTTTGGAGTAGCCGAAACTGTGGGGAAGAAACGAAAACCAATTTTTACCTATCGTCTATGTTCGTCATCAGTGAGCACTTGATATTGGGCAGACAGCCAACAAACATACAAATAGACATATAACAAAAACCAAAAAAAGCAACAAAAACAAAAAAGAAAAATGTTTGCTTATAATTTTCACACCCAGTGCCACATAATGCATGGTTGTTATTGTAGTATTTGCTGTTGCTGCTGCCTGCATTGACTTTTGACGCTTGACGTTGATAAATGAATCATAAAAGCAGCGCAGTCAACGCCACCGGCAAAACGCACAGACATGGAAATAGAGGAAAAATTAAATGAGAGAGAGAGGGATAAAGAAAGAGAGCTTATACGCTCTGTGGTATATGTTTTGTTGCTAGTTTGCTTTGCTAATTATTTATTTATTAACCTCTCTTAAATATTTAAAATTCAGTTGTTGTTTTATTAACGTGTTAATCGATAACAGCTGTGACTCTTGTTATCGCATATTTTGAGTGCAAGTTCGTGTCCAATGTTTCTCCCATGCTGGCGCCCACGATCTTTGGCGCTCTCTCTCTCTCTCTCGCACCCACACACACACTTAAATTCTATGTTTCAGAATTGTAGTTGTAGTTTTCTGCTGTTGCTGCCGCCGCTGCTGCTGCTGGCACTGCTGCCGGGCAGTGGCAGTGACACTCAAAGTGAGTCCGAGCCGCGCAACTGCCAGAGTCAGTTCGTATGTTGGCCCATATTGATATTAATTGTTGTTGTAGTTGTTGTTGTTGCAGCAAATATATAATATACATATATATATATATGTATATGTAAATGTATATATAAATATATTGTGTGGGTGCTCTAACCGCTTTAAAAACAAAAACAATTTTTTTTGTGTGTGCCAAAATGAAAAAAAAAAAAAATGTTTTTTTAATTAAGAACACACAATTTTTAAAGTGATTTTGCAGATAATCATAAAAAGAAGACACAAAAAATTGAATCGAAATAAGTGGAATGTACTGAAACAAGTCGTCATCTATATAATCTTACAATCATACATATATAAATATTCTTATATACGTATGCATATATATTTATATGATATTTAATACACATATTTAGCTAGATTTTTGCCGTGTGTTTTTTTATGGTAAAGCCAAAATAGTATGACGCGACTGCAAAAATAAAGTTGATTTATACATACATACATATGTATAGTATAAGAAACAAAAAAAATATATATAAACGAAGAACTAAAGAAGCAGTAAAAAGTCAAGTTAGATAAGAATTGTTGTAGATAAAGGCCTTGTCCCTGCCCTTGCTCTGACGCATGCTCCAATGACTGAAAAGTATTTGCTGCTACCAGCGATTGCATTTAAGCATTGCCTATCGATTATAATTAATATTAATGTTACTATTATTTTGTTGCAGCTGTTTTGCTATAGCTTGAAACGGAACCCAGGTGTTTGTTTGTTAGCCAGCAGAACGAGCAGTAGAACAGATGTCTAGCGAAGAGGATAAACCACCGGCGCCGCCAGTCCGTCTAACCAGTAATCGTGGCGGCGGCGTTGGCATCGAACGTGTTCCCATTCCCGGCAGTGGAACTGGCGGCATTGGTGGCGTCGGCGATGCGCCTCCAGTTGATATGCGGCCATTGCCAAAAGGTAAGTTAGTTCAGAATGTGGATGCCATTGGTGCGGTCAACAATATATTATTCTTTGCTTTCACTTAAAGAGCCCGACGATGCGGACCGCAAAAAAAAGACACTGAAAAACAAGATAAAAGGCTCCAAGCCGTCGCACATGGATTCCAAACCAAATATCTCGTATCCCACTAACTTCGAGCACACAGTCCACGTGGGCTTCGATGCAGTCACCGGCGAATTTACGGTAAGGCCGTCTACAGCTTCAGCGATTATTCATTTTAAATATTAAAATACTTTCTTGTGGCTTGCATTTTGGCTTCGCAATTATTTTGTTTTCTAGCCAAAGCGATGCGATCCAATCAATTGCCAATAACTTTTGTGTTTTGCCAGTTCCATATGAACACAAATATTTTTAAACACACACTGAAACACATCATATAAATGAAAATAAAATAAACTGAAATCAACCAAGACGATTGAAAATTACCTCAAATTTGGCTTATTCATCTGAATAGTGCACATAGTGGTTTATTAATTATGACTATCTACTGTGTCTACCTTGTAGGATGAAACTATTAGTGTATGAGTACTCAATCTATATTAATCTATTCGATTCTCGTATGAGTGTGTAAAATATTTCAAAGGAGTTTTTCACTCTTGTCAGACTCTTTTCTCATGATCGTTTTGTGATTTCCTTGATATTTCTAAATTCTCAATCAATAATCATTAGGCATTGCTGTTCAAGTTATGTTTACATTAAAAAGAAATAGAAGAATCATTTCGAACAGCTTTGCTTTACTATCGACCTTGCCTCGTTATCCAGAGAAACAGTTTCAATCATTCATATGCGTATGATTTTGTGCATTCATTTTGCTGTTAACCCTTTTTAAATACTCAATTATACACATTATGTTTCTCTCTTTTGTGAGATATGCTCTATACCAATTTTGAATTATTCATTATTATTTCAAGCTGCCAATGAAAGTAAGTAAATATATCGTTCAGGCAACGGAACTTGCCTTCATCAGTTTTCTTAGCGAAATTCCAATCATCTGTTGTTTGTGTCTCCCCATATGTTTGTTTTGAGATCGGCTCTTCCATAGTTCTCATTTAATTACGATTCTTACTGTAAACATGTTCTCTACACTACACTACACCAAATCCAAATACCACACTAAACTTTTACCGATGGCTGAGCTTAATTATTGTAGTATAAATATTTTTAGTCGCCGGCTTCCTATTAATCCCAGACTTCATTGGACAAATATATATATATAATCCAGCTTTCCCCTGCTGCTCTCTCTCTCTTTCTCTCTCTATCTGTGTATGTGCCCATCCTAGCTGGGCCCTTTTTTATTATTCTTATGAAATATATATACTAATCGAAGTTTCTGCATATTACAGGGTATGCCGGAGGCATGGGCGCGACTCCTGATGAACTCCAACATCAGCAAACAGGAGCAGAAAAAGAATCCGCAAGCAGTGCTCGATGTGCTCAAATGGTTCGACAACACAACCAAACAGAGGCCAAGTTCAAAGTACATGACAAATGCTATAACAACGCATTCAGGCAAGTGTTTATAGAGGCTTAAAGAGCATACAATTTTCTAATGACAATTATTTTCCCTTTATACACTGAATTTAGGATCTTCGCTGAGCCGCGTAAGCAGCAGTAGTCCCAGCAGCACGCCAACAGACTCGGAGCTGCATGGCTCGAACAGTGGCGGCAATTTAATTGGCGTGCAGCTGGGTAGCATGACACTGGGTCCCAATGCCAACAATGTGTCTGCAGCGGGTCAATTGGTAAGCAATCACTACCAACAGCAACAGCAGCACTTGCTGCAGCAGCAACAATTGCAGAACCATCAGCAGCAGCACCAGCAACAACACCAGCAGCTACACCAGCATCAGCATCACATTGGCCTAAGTCAATCGCATTCGTATAACTTTACTGGGCACACAGCCTCTACATCCACTTCGCAACATTCATCTGCCAATGAGAACGATATGTACGTTGATATGGGTGTCGCGCCGCAGCAACCACCACCACCGCCTGTGGCTTCTCGGCCGGAGCGCACGAAGTCAATCTATACGCGACCCATCGAGGAACTGCAGCCGGCGCCGTTGCCAGCGGCACCAGCAACGACACCCACAACGCCACTACAAAACCACAAAGCAACTACGGCCACGGTGGCTGCATCGCCCCTCATGCTTAACAATGCCACAACGACGCTGGACAAGAACAAGAACAATGCAAGTGAGTAGCTCGACAAGCGGAATCCTTAGCTGGCTGTTAAATTCAAAGTTTATCAAGCCCTTGCAGTGTCTTAAAATTCGTTACTAACCCGTCTAAAATGGTAGCCTATAAACAATTTCTAAATCGTACCACATTTATTCTGGCATCATTCATACTTAAAAACTGTCCGAAATATCCAAATGTTGTATAACATCTCCATATCGATAGCAAAATATGATAAACTCGGCTGGCAGCTGTTAAATCCTTGGCATTTATTTTATGTTCCATTTAGTTTCAAATGCTTTAATGTGCAGCTTCTGATTTACTGCAAGGGTAACAAGCTGCTTCGATGCAGTTCGAAGATGGTTTCAGTTCTCATGTTGTTGTTTTATTTGAAGTAATCAATGCATTGATGCGTAATGTGTACTGTTTAATGCTAATGTTATTGTCATTTTGTATCGCCTCTTCTGTGTTCTGTTCTGTTCTGTTTTGTTCTGTTTTGACTCTGCTTTGAATTGCTGCTTAACAACCAAACAACTGCAACATCAGCAACAATTGCAACTGCGACGGCAGCGAGCAGCTCCACAGCGGCAACAGTAGCAGCAGAAGCTACACCTACAACAACAACAACAACAACAGCTATAGCAACAGCAGCAGCAACAACAACAACAGATACAGAAGGCATTGAGGCATCAGCAGCAACAACAACAGTTGCTAATGCTCAAATTTTGTCTGTTTCGGCAAACGCTACTAATTGTCCTCCCACTACCACAATAAATGCAGCTGCTAGCAGAGAGGAGCAGCAGCTTATTGAGTGTATTGCTGCTGCAACAGCAGCAGCAGTAACAACCGAAGCTACAGCTACAGCAACAACGACTAATCACCACTCTTCTGCTTCCTCCTTTTCATCACTACCCTCGTTTCATGATGATGCGACGCCGCCGCTTACCGCCAACGCCTTGCCCTCAATACATTGTCCTACACCAACGTCTTCCACACGCAATTCTGGCGCTGTCACCACGACCATACCAACTATTACGATGGTAACACCTGCAACACCTGCCACAGACCTGTACCACGATCCGACGGCCAACAATTTGAATGCTTCGTCTTTGGCAGCTACACCTGCCGCGGGCACTCAAATTGCGGTGCCGCAGCAGGCAGCGGCTGCTACCACGACGACGACTACGACGAGAGCCGCTAACGCCAAGAAGAAGAAAATGTCTGACGAAGAAATACTTGAAAAGCTGCGCACCATTGTCTCTGTGGGCGATCCCAATCGCAAGTACACCAAGATGGAGAAAATTGGCCAAGGTGCATCAGGCACGGTGTACACGGCCATTGAGTCCTCAACGGGCATGGAGGTGGCAATCAAACAGATGAATTTGTCGCAGCAGCCCAAGAAGGAGCTGATTATCAATGAGATTTTAGTAATGCGAGAGAACAAACATCCGAATGTTGTCAACTACTTGGATAGTTATCTGGTATCGGAGGAGCTCTGGGTGGTTATGGAGTATTTGCCTGGCGGCTCCCTCACCGACGTTGTTACCGAGACCTGCATGGATGAGGGCCAAATTGCGGCCGTTTGCCGTGAGGTGTTGCAGGCGCTTGAGTTTCTGCACGCCAATCAGGTAATTCATCGCGATATTAAAAGTGATAACATACTGCTTGGCCTGGATGGTTCCGTCAAGCTGACTGATTTCGGTTTCTGTGCGCAAATCTCGCCGGAACAATCTAAACGCACAACTATGGTTGGCACACCCTATTGGATGGCCCCCGAAGTGGTTACACGCAAGCAGTATGGACCAAAGGTATTGTGTAGCACAATGGTTTAATCGCCAATTAAATACAATAATATATGATTAATATTGCAGGTCGATCTATGGTCGCTAGGCATCATGGCTATTGAAATGGTCGAGGGTGAGCCACCGTATCTGAACGAGAATCCTCTAAAAGCCTTGTACCTCATTGCCACCAATGGCAAGCCGGAGATTAAGGAAAAAGACAAACTAACGGCTGCATTTCAAGATTTTCTAGATCAGTGTCTAGAAGTGGAAGTGGAGCGGCGCGCCAGCGCCATGGATCTGCTAAAGGTTTGACTACCTGACTGATCAATGAGATATGTATATTGAAAATACTAAATCAATTTCAATTTACAGCATCCCTTCCTAAAATTGGCGCGTCCATTGGCTAGTTTGACGCCTCTGATCATGGCCGCCAAGGAAGCGACCAAGGGCAACTGATTGACAACCAAAAAACAGCAACTTATTTAACCATTACTAATGAATTACTGTTACAACAAGCAACAGCAGCAGCGAGAACAACAACAATAGCAACAATTCATGCGTATGATGAACAGATGATAAATTATAAGTGTTTATGATTATTATGATTATTTATATAAACGTATTTATATACAAACACATATATACTTATTATACATATTATTAACTACTCGTAACAAACAAAAATCAATGAGTAATTACAGCACACGTGTAGCCAAGTATGCGTAGTTGAATTCACACGACACTTTGGGTTTCCAGTCTACTGCTGAATTTAACGAACAATTTTATGAAAATTTCGATGATTTTCCAATGAAGAATAAGTTTTGCTAATGATTTGTTATACCAAATTATCGGGCATTTAAAATGCCCTAGAATTTATATTTTAATAATTGGACAAAAATTCATTCAACAAATTATATAAAATTATATTTTATAATTAATTGGCATTTGCATTTAAAATTCATATAAACTATATAATATTGTAATACTTTTTTATTGTATAAAAAAAGAAGAAAATCATTATGAATTCTATATTAGTTTTTCAATAATTTTCTATAAGAAACAACTGAGTAAAAGCAAACACACTTACGAAATTCTTGCGCAAAACGCTGTAACACTAATTTTAAACACTTAAGAGTATTATTTAACTGTTTCGTTTAAAAATTTTAGCTGCATTCAGTCAAAGTTTCAATTAGTTTTCGTAAACTGCTTTATTTAATAAAAACCTAAATATATATTTTTTATACATATGCGCTTGAAGCATATTTTTATTTTCAGGCCTGTTTTTTTTTATGTTTTCCGCTTATATACATGAATTGTTTTTATATATTATTTATACGTTTTCATTTTTAGAAAGGATTTGTCTATGTTGTTACCAAAGATCTTACCATGCTTTGTCCCTCGCTCACCCACAGCAATAACCTTCGTTTTTGTACCATGTCTCTATAAATATGAAATTGTAAATCCAAATGGCAAATTGTAATTGTAAAGTAGTTTCCCATGATATTAGAAGAACCTATATTTTTCAAATACATGACAACACTGCAACATGGTTTATCATGATAACAGATTGTAGCAATTTATTGAATTATGATAGACTTAGCAAATAATAAACGATCCAACAAATTTGAGAGAAACACTCTCAGCTGTTCAAAAAATTGGGTATAGCAACTAAATATAACTAGCAATTAAATAGCGTGTAACCATGAGAAAAAAACAGTTACTTTGTGCCTAACCAATAAATAAAATAGAAAACAAAATGAAACATAACAACAGTACATACATAAGAGCAAACAGCAATTAGTAAGATAAATACTAGTAATTACTATAGTAGATTAACATAGCACGTAGCGTAGGACAGACAACTTAATTACCAGCCACAACTGTAGTTCAGCAACAAAAATGTTATACTTGCTAATTCAGTTCCGAAACTAATCAGCGATAGGCACTGAAATATTGTAACTTCGTTCTGATGCAAGAACTGAAATTTGATTTGAGTTGAATTATTGATTTTGTAATATCAGGATTTTTAATATCTAGTTTACTGCATACCCTCTATACAGAATCATATTAATCGACATCCGTTATTTTCTATTTTATTTGACAACGTTAATTTATATTCATATTTTCATTCTATTTAATTAGCACTCGAAAATAAGAAAGCAAAATTCATTTAAAACGCAATATGTGCTGCATCGGCCTGATTTATTTATTTATTCAAATTCCAACGAAATAATTTCGCCTACATAAAATTCATCTAGTTCAAGGTCGAATGCATGTTTTGAAAATAAAGATCTGTTAGGTATGATATATACATAACTATGCGGATAAGTTGGTTGAAATCTTCGTTAACAGCTCAATAACACCAATAATCACATTCAGTCTATGTGAATAACATTTTGTAAAACTCATACGAAGCGCATTATTTCCGCTATTAGTTCCTAATAGGCACACATACATCTATATTAATATAAATGTGTGTGTGTGTATTGACATTAAATTAAATTCTATGTTTAAAATTGAACGCCAAATAACATGGCGACGACGTTGAAAACGAATATAAATTATGATTATTGTATTTTGTAGTACCTAGAAAACTAATACAAAAATGCAGAACGAATCTGTATAATACAATAATGGTAGCGATGAATTGGAAAACAAGTACATTCGTACGTATATATATAGAAATAGAATTATGAAATTGAAAAAGAAAATCTAATAAATGGTATATATATATACATATATATATGTAAATGAGAACCTCAAATCTAATATAACGTATGATCAATAAAACAAATATATATATACATAGATATGAGTATAAAATTTACAATTTGAGTTGTTTTCAGTTTGCATTTATTATAAAGTACAATCTTGCATGCACTTGAAAGGTTTAAAATATGGGTTTAGGTGCTACATTATTTCACTGCTTAACATAAATGGGGTTTGAGTTCTTTATTATGAATAGTATGTTCGTGGCATTACTTATTTCGACGTGTGGACTCTGAAGCTGTTGGTGGCGGTGGAGGTCCACGTTTGTTCATTTCCTCCAAGAAAGCTGCAAGAATACTACTGCGCTCTTCTTCCAAGTGATCCAACACCAAGTAGCTAAATGAATGGTTTTTGTGATCAATTAATTGATTAAATATGAACCAGTCAAAAGCTTACCGCTTATCGTTTTTGAGAATGTCCTGGATTTCTTTGAGGTGATTGGGATTCTCCTTGATGAGATCGCTGCTCTTGTGTGTAATAAATTTACACTCCTGCAATAGCTCGCGGAAGGCTGTCTTGGCCTGCATGGTTTTATCCTTAATATAATCACGAAACTCGCGCTCGCCTTTATCTGAACTGTATTTCAGATAGCGCGGATCGTCCTTGATTTGCTTCTTAATTTCTTTCCATGTGCTAGTCAATTGAAGTGAGCTAATCTCATCGAGCATTTCGCGGAATTTTTCGCGTTTCTTTTTCATCAGATTGTCAATATGCTCGTTGAAGATTCTGCGCGATAGACAATAATTGAAATAAAATATGCTAATTTAATAACTTGTTCCACGTAGGCTCACCGTTCACGATCATCACGATCAAGTGTCTCGATTAATTCCCAGCGATGATCTTTACGTAGCTGACGCTTCACTTCTTTCCAAGTGAAATCGGGTGTGCGCACCAGATCAGTTAAGAGTGCCGTGAAGTGGCCAATGCACTCGTCACGCTTATGATGCTCCCTCTCCTTATCACGATCGCGCAGATGACCAGCTAGTGTGCGATGTACCTCCTTTTCGCGCTCCCTGATGCTCTGCTCCGCTCGCAACTTACGTTCCCGCTCCTTTAGTTTCTGCTCTGCTTCGGTTTCACGCTGGCGTGCCAATTCGCTATCCTCGCTGCCGGCACGCTCCTCCTGCTCCGAATCATGCTCACCCTCCTCCTAAAAATAAGTTTTATATCATTTTTGCAAATGTAATGTTATTAAATTTATATTACCGGAGTATCCTGCGTCTTGCGATCTTTGCCCTTTTCGTCCCTGTCTCGTGATGATTTGCGATCACGGTCCTTTGAACGGCTGCGGTCCCTGCGACTGTCTTTTCTACTCTTGTCTTTGTCCTTATCCTTGTCCCGACGGTCTGATTTCCGTTCCCGTTGGCGCTCCCTATCGCGCTGTTCCCGTAGCTCGCGATCCCTGCGCTTCTCCTCCTTCATTATGTGCAGGTATTCCTCAAAATACTCCTCTCGGTACATGGACTCCACTGCCCGATACCGCGAATCCGATTCAAACTTCTTCTTGATGTCATACCAACGCGTATGGCGTTCAATGTCATGACGCTCCCGCAGCATGTCCATAAAGTCTTTGCGTATCTAAAGATTTAAAATGGAATTTAACATGACAGCCATGCGGAAGAGAAAAGAAATCGGTTGAAAAAATAAATTAGTTATGCTTCTGGAACTTATGCGAATTCCATTTAAACTAAGACTTAGGGCGCTACCTTAACTTGCCTTAGTAACTAGATAATCTTATAACTTATAAACATAGTTACACGCTTTGCTTTCACTGAAAAAGAATGTTTGGATTAGCTTTGTATTAGACCTAGCTGAAAGAAAAGATAATCAAGTTCTGACCACAAGTCTGGTAGAAAAATACAGTACTCAAGCAGGTCCAAGTCGGGAAACAGACTCAATCGGACCAATCAAACAAGGCAACGAAAATAAACAAAATTGATGTATGAGTTAAGACAATTGGACAATGTAAATATTTTCCAGCATATAATTTGTTTCTGTATAGTGAAAAATATAAAGGAGACCTTTTTGTTTGAGTACAATGCAATTTCTTGACAAGATTGTGGTCGGGCCAAGAGAGGCGCTTCAGCTGGGCCGAAGTGAACGGGTCATAAAACTAAAGTAAACATACCAAATACATAAGCTATAATAAATTAAAGTGTGTCTGAGTGTAAGACAGAGTCTTTCAACGTGCTGAGCCGTTGCCAGAAACCTGTGAGAGCAATGTGAGAAAGGTAGAGAGTGAGAACGGGATGGTCTCTATAGTCAGTTCTTACGTTGCTCTGCACAGGCTTGGATCGGGTGGATTGGTTCTCCTGTTGTGGACGCTGCCAGTTACAAGTTTTGATAAAACAAAAAGAAATATTGGTTTAATTAAATTATGTTATTATTCATACTGTTTGCTCAGCCTCGAAGCCACCTGTACGCGATTTGTTGTTGTTGTTCGCCGTTCTGTAATGGTAGTTGTTGTTGTCGTTGCTGTTCAGTGATGAGTGGCTGCTTCCGCTTCCATTAGCTCAAACATTGATCTTCCAACATCAACATCTCATATTTTATGAACAAATAACGGCAAATAACATCATCATCATCATCATCACCATCATTGATCATCGATAATCATCATCATCATTGGCACAACATCATTCCTAGACGACACGTGCGACGCAGGGCGGGGCGGGAAGTGGAAATCACACCAACGATTATCAGGTAATTTTCAATTTTTGCATACCTTTTGATTTTTAGTGACTGTTTTATATTTTTGTATGGTTTTTGTTTATTCCAAATTTGTTTCTTATTTGCAGAAAAACAAATTTTTTTTGTAATTTTTTTTTGTTTTTGTTTTTAGTTTGAACTCACCACACAGACAGATTAG